AACTGATGTAAATTGGAGTAGCTCCACTGATTTCAATGGGGCCACTCCAATTTATACCAACTGGCTCCACATTCTGTTTGGTATAACTCCCACTTGCACTGAGAGGATGAGATGTAACTGGCAGCCTTTATAATGTGTGCTGTGAACCAGATGGCATAAATGGGCTTCAGAAACGGAAGCATAAAACTTAAATATATAAAATCAGTTATGACCAATGTATTTAATATCCCTTCAGTTCTTATCAGTCTCTCCTGTGTCTTACCACCAATCCTCTTTGCATTAGCAGTAGATTGGGTGATGAAGAGGCCACAAAAGATATCCTGGACAGAGTAAATTGGGTTAGCAGACATGAATTACATGACCTTGACTTGGCTGACAACACTGCTTTACTAAATATGACATGGAACAAAATTATTGCCCCTACTTCACAGGTAAAACAGGAAGCAGTAAAAATTGGATTGAAAGTAAAAGAGAAAACCAAGATTATGAAGGTAGGAAACTGGACAACCAATGCAAAGGTGTCCATGGATGGAAAGGAAATCAACCAGGTAGAAGAATTCTGCCATCCAGTGAGTAGGAAGACAACACAAGGTGGCTGTGATAAAGTTATTCATATGAGGTTAGGGAAAGCAAACACTGAAAGAATGAACAATATCTGTTAAAGACTGTGGTCTCCATACCAAACTAAAATTGAGATTATACCGTGGGACTGTACTGAGCATGCCACTGTATGGAGCAGAGATTTGGCTGATGATCGTGACTAACTAAGAGGTTGGAGGCAGCTTATCACAGACGGTGAGGAAGATATTACACATTTCATGGAAAGACAAAATAACAAATGTGAGAGAAAGGGAGCTGTATATAGAAAGAAGGATTAGGTTATGAGGACATGCACACCAAATGAAAGATGGGAGCCATGCTAAGCAGGCACCGAAGTGGGTGGAAAGTGAGAAAGGCCCAGGAAGAACTGGCAGAAGAGAATGACAGAAGTTATTGAATGCACAGTCATCACCCAAGAAGAAGTACCAAAGTATCAAATGAGCATAATCAGTGGCAGAACTGATGTGTCAGAGAATCAGGAGGAACTAAGGTCTATGGTAAGGCCCTATGAGAATAATACTATTTCTAAAACAGATTTTTCCTCTGAATTGGTACCTGACTAACTTGATCACAAACAAGACATAATTTAGAAAACATAAAAGCAAGCTCAGATAACACTTAAATAACAGAGAGAAAACACAGGGAAGCCTTCTACATAAGGAGATGAGAGAAAGCAAAAGATTATTAAGATGCATAAAAAAAACCTTTTGCTACCAAGCTTGTCCGTGGAGAGAAAAGAGAAGTACCATGAGGTAACAGATATTCTTGTTGAATCAAAAGAAGAAAAATGAAAATAAATGAAGCTTTATGAGCCTGTTCCAAAGCCCATTTTAGTAATCAGTCCTTCCACTGATTTCAGTGAACTTTGAATCAGGCCCACATAGCATAAATTATTAGGGCCACATATTACTCTTCATCTGCACATGAAACACGTGTTGATATCAGTGCAGAGTTCTACTCTCAATCTATGGCCCTGCAGTCTTTGCCCAGGTAAAATCCTCACTGAAGTCAATGGGAGTTTTTCAGGAGTATTGACTGCAGAACAAGGCCTGATGACAGTATATAACACCATGGCTGCATCTAAACTGGCAAGTTTTTCCGCAAAAGTGGCTGCTTTTGCGGAAAAACTTGCCAGCTGTCTACACTGGCCGCTTGATTTTGCGCAAAAGCACGGACGTTCTACTGTCCAAAATCAGTGCTTCTTGCGCAAATGCTTTGACGTTCCCGTTCGGGCAAAAGCCCTTTTCCAGAAATGCTTTTGCGCAAAAGGGCTAGTGTAGACAGCTGAAAACTGTTTTGCGCAAAAAAGCCCCGATGGCGAAAATGGCGATCGGGGCTTTCTTGGGCAAAACCGCGTCTAGATTGGCTCGGACGCTCAGACGCTTTTCCGCAAAAAGTGTGGAAAAGCGTCCGTGCCAATCTAGATGCTCTTTTCCGCAAATGCTTTTAACGGAAACACTTTTCCGTTAAAAGCATTTGCGGAAAATCATGCCAGTCTAGACGTAGCCTATAGGTACACTTTTTAATAGTCTAATACAGACTTTCTCAATCTTTTTTGTATTGAGCCTTTTCTCTCTTCTTTTCCCAGATGGGGTAATGCTTGCATTCAGTATGGAAAGAGCAGCCTGGTTTTTCCGCAAATGCTTTTAACGGAAACACTTTTCCGTTAAAAGCATTTGCGGAAAATCATGCCAGTCTAGACGTAGCCTATAGGTACACTTTTTAATAGTCTAATACAGACTTTCTCAATCTTTTTTGTATTGAGCCTTTTCTCTCTTCTTTTCCCAGATGGGGTAATGCTTGCATTCAGTATGGAAAGAGCAGCCTGGTCACAACTTGTTCTTCACCCCCAGCTGAAGAATCCGATCTAATATCTTTGCAATGGTGGAAGCAGTGGTTTAGATAGGACATAACCTCTTGCTTGGCTCTTTCCTCTCATGGAATTTGAAATGGAACCTCCTATTCAGTTTATTAGCAGGGGAATTTTCATACCGCAGGCTGGGAGGGACTCAGACACCTGTAAGGGAGGAAAAAGCAGGTTGCTTGGCTGTACTTACATGAAGGTCTTTAGAAGTGTAGGCTCTCTCAAAATGTAGTGCCAGAGGCATTTGTCCCAGTTGCCCTTGCCAAAGTCATCACTTAGGCCTTGTTTTACACTAGAAAGTTGTGCGTTTTTAATTATACTGGTATCGCTAAAGTGTTCCAATCCCCTAGTGTGGACACAGTTATAGCAGTATAAAGGTGGTGGATACACAGGTAGCTATTCTTGTAAGGTGAAGCTATTTCCATTTCTTTAAAAGTTCAGCGGAGGCTAAAAATACATAAATGTTCTTCCTGGAGAAAAACTAATGGCTGCCATATTTTAGTTACATTTCAAACACAGTAACTAATCTAAAATTACTGTAGAATTCTAATCACTTTACTAAAAATACAGTGCTGTTATTTGTAGACCGTTATTCCTAGCTGATGGGAAGCCAACAGAAATGAAATTAACCTTTTCTGCCTGCTTCCCTTTTGCTTTATCTTTCCCTTATTTTCAAAGAAGGGAAGTGGCACTTAAAAATGTGGTAGTACAAAGCAAGGGACTGATCCTTACAGACCGTGCTAAGAGAAAATTCCCCTTGTACCCAGACTGGCAAAGTGTAGCCTGGGATCTGAAATGGAGGGATTTCCCAGATCCTAGGTGGGAAAAACAGAAAGTCTCATTCATTTCAATATGGTTTTGGTAAAGAAAAAATGCTTGTATGAATGACATTATAAACTCAGGAAGAAGATGCTGAGATATCAGTTCACTAGTATGTCTGAGTCATAGATTTGTACAGTGCTGCACTGTACAAACAAGAAAAAGCCCCTACTCCAGGCAGCATAATTCAGATATATGCAAGAGACTGCAGAACATTTTAAATACACAAATGTATGGAGACTATGTCAGTCCAGACATCAACAAAGAAAAACCTTATGAAAACATCTGCAATTTGGGAGGTAATCAGGAATAATTGTCTAGTGTTGGCTGGACTTTTGGCTACACTCGTTAATGTAAGAAACCATAGTTGAAGGGGCTGTTCCAAGACAATAAGAAATCTAAGTTATATCCCTGTTCTGTTCCAGTGTGATCATGGATGGGCAAATCACTTACACTTAAGGGCTTTGCTGAATAGGGATGGATTTAAGCATATGCTGCATCAGGGCTTTGCAGAACCAGAATCTATATATACCACTAATTGCCTCCATTTCCCTATTTATAAGATGGAAATAATACTACTACTTCTATTTGAAAAGGGCATTGTGAAGATACAATCATTAGCAGGGCTTGACAAACTATGTAATCTACTCGCCCACGGCGAGTAGATTACAACCCGGAAGAGCCGGGTTCGGGCAATCTGTGCATGCGCAGATCACCGGACAGCACGGCTGGCGAGCGGGGTTCGCCGCGGCTCAGCAAGCCCTGATCATTAGTTTTCACGCAGGACTCTCATACTTTGGAAATAATAGAAATGTCTTTAATTAACCAGCCATGGTGAACTTTGATCTCAGAGAGCAACGAGTCAAAGGCGATACAGCTCCTGATGTCTATGGACAAAGAGCCTGGAAATAAAATGACAAAAGTCTGGATTAAACTGACAGTAACAAACACATTAATTATAATAATTCAGTGTTTTATAGTAGTACCTAGGTGCCCCATTGCTCTAGATATTGTAACATACACACAGTAAATGACAGTCCCTGCCCCAGGCCATTTTACAATCTAGACAGGACAATACAAAAAGTATACCCCATTTTACAGATTGGGAATTGAGGCACAGGCTGATAAATGACCCGCCCAAGGTCCCACAAGAATTCTGTAGCAAAGCTAGGAAGTGAGCCCAGGTATCCTGAGCATGACAGGTTAAGAAACAGGATTAATTTGTCACAACAAGTTTTGTGCACAATTGTTGTAGCTCTCTTGGTCCTGAGATATTAAAGACACAAATTGGGTGAGGTAATAGCTTTTATTGGACTGTCCGTCAGAGAGACCAGCTTTTGAGTTTATACGAGCGGAAAAGCTTTCAAGCCACACAGAACTCCTATCTCCCTCCTCCACTGAAGTTAGACCAATAAAAGATGTTACTTCATGCAAATTAATGTCTTTAAAATCAACATTTTAAAAACTGGGTCCCACTGAAGAGCTTTCATTATGAAACCATCTTTGGTTGGACACGGCTCCAATGTTGCATATGTTCACAATCCACATAAAGGCAGAACAATGAAAGTCAGTGTTATTGTAATTCACTTCCTAAGGGCCCAACTTTCAATGGTGTAGAATCAGGCAGTAGGACTCCTCTGAAATCACTTGGGAATTTTGCTACTGATTTGGATTAGGCCAGGATTCCATCCTAGGTTCCTCAGGTGGGACTAGTTGGTGGTACCTAAAACACAATGAACAGAAAACCTGGTAAATCGGTCAATGAATTCTACACTTTTAATACAAAAAAAATTACTTTTGATGGGATTACAGCTAATTAAAATTTAAAATTCAAATTAACTATCTAAAAGGTCATCTTGAAAATCCGTAGGCATCTGGTATTTATCAGCTGACACACAACTAAAGATAAATCCAGGAAAGCACGCCACCTTTCTAAGTGTCATGTTTCAGTCAATCCCGCACTGAGAGCAGGAAAGAGGCAACGAGCAATTAGCACCGCTCGGGGAAAGTGATAATGTGTAATAAAAACTTGCTGCTCAATTCGATTTGTTTTCAATATACATTTCTGATCTCTTTAAGGGATTTCTTCTTTAACCCCACAGCGCGTATGCAACGCATGCTCCATAATCTTTAGCTCTCGGACACGGACCAAACTTAGTAGAAGCCTCTTAAAGGACTCTTTTATATACTTGCCATTAATCTGGCTACGTCAAAACACACTGCAAGGAGAGGGGGGCGGTGATCTCAAGGCCGCATCAGAATTTTTCTTAAGTCTACCTGTAATTCGTGACTCAATTAGCCCTAGTTTATGACAGTCACATGACCCAATCCTAGCCACATGTCGTGGATTAGAGATTTGTGCTGGTAGGTCTTTCGCAGCAGGCACGACCGAACGGTGCCCTAAGCAGCTGTGCGGCCAGCTAAGGCAGGACACGGCCGGCATGGAAGCAGCCCAGCCCGCGGGGTTCCAAAGTGAGAGTTAACCCCTTTGGGCGCACCAAAAAAAAAAAAAAGTTCCCAGGACTTGGAAAGTTGGGGCTCATCGCGGTGGCGCGAGGCCAATGGCTATCATCGCAAAAGCTTCCGCTGCGAACCCAGGAGAGGCTCCCCATGCGCGAGCTGGCGCCGACTCCCGGCTCTGCCGCTGCCAAAGAGGGTTAGTTTCGCGGCAAGGCGCTGACTCCTCGGCCAGGCAGGACGGCCCGGCCTCCCCTACGTGAGCGAAGGGCGCCC